CTTCTCATTTTCCAATTCAAGTTCTTTATTCCTCGCACTCAATGCTTTGTTTTTAATAAGAATCTTAAGACTCTCCTCATACTGGCTCTAGTGACATATATACCATTCCTTTGGTACCTTTGACCTAAATTACTTTCAAAGAATCATTTCCAATCCCGCCTTGCTGGCCTATGTCATCTAGATTACTCATAGAAATCAAGTTTCTATTCAAGTCAGGAACATACCTTACTCTTTCTAGAGTAAAGGTATATCAATTTTCAAATTTCAAAATCACACTATCAATTCCTTTAATCCTACAAGCTACATTGTTATACATAACCACCTCTCCTCCATCAAGATCTTTAAAGTTCTTCAACCAAGGTCTTCTAGAGGTCATATGTAAGGTACACCTTGAATCCAGAATCCATTCACTATTCTGATCGATGTTATCTGCATAATTTGCAGTCTTCAGATCAGAAATGGGTTTTGTCACCACGTACACATCATCTGTTTTCTCATTTAGGGGTTCTACTATATTCACCTCATTCACTTTCATCTCTCTCTGTTCATTATTCTTCTTATAATAGTATTTTATAAAGTGTCTTGTCTTTCCACACCTATAACACTTCCTATTTCCATTCCTAGACTTTGATCTAAACCTCACTTTCTCCCTTAGAATTATTATTCCGCCGATGACTCTGACATTTACTTACTTAGACATAGGTCTCCCTCTCACAAATAAACTCTCAAATTCCTTCCCAATCCTATCAACCTTAAGATCTAATTCCTTACTTCTTAAAAAATTAATCACTATCTCAGGAGTTAAGGTATCTCTACCATACTTAATAGCATATTTAACATCCTTATATACTTCAGGTATAGCATTTAGAAAGATAACAATTTTATATTCTTCAAAAACTTTATCCCCAACGTTAGTGATATCTTGAATTAATTTATCAAATGTATCAAGATTATCATCTAAATCCTTAGACATATCAATCTTAAAACTAAAGAACCTTTCTTGAAGGAAGAGTTTATTAGACAGACTTTTAACCATGTATTGTTCTTCTAATTTTTCCCACAAAACCTTAGCATTATCAAGTTCCTATTCTTCTCAACAATTGATCAGACAAATGAAAAATTATAGAGGTATATGCAAGTTCATCAGATTCAAGCTTTTGATCATCAGTCATAGTAGCAGGTTATTCACCAGTTATAGCATTAGCAACTTTCTGTTGAACTAAGACCCCTTTCATTTTTTGCTGCTAAATGGGAAAATCTCATTTTCTACTAAAAACTCTAAGTTCAAACGTTGTAGTTGTCATTTGAAATTTTTAATCAACACAAAAAGGTATTTGAGGTCACAATTTAACAGAAAAAGCAGAAAACAGATATTTCAAAGCCGATAGAATATCACACAAACCTTAGTGTAACACAAAAAATAGAGATGAAATATATCTCAAGACTCAAATCAACAGGCCAATAGCACAATGAAAAATAATGTGAAATGCAACAATGATTATAAGTAGAATAATACCCTCAGTAAAATACAAGTCAACAGAGAGATTAAACCAACTAATAGTCACAGTAAATCACCAAATATACTACAGTATATTAAACAGATTAATATGGAGAATTCCTCCAATTTCTGCTTGTTAGAATTCATCGAGATTCCATAAGGTTCACGACCCCAGGTCAATGCACAATTCTTAACCACCAGGAATAAAAGGAATAATAAAGGGAAACATGGAGAATTCAATAATATTCAAGATCAAATTAACAGAAAGTCGAGGGTTAGAAATATTTTCACCCAACAGGTTCAAAGAACCAATGCCAAATTCCAGAGTCTCTGCAGGACAACTAGCTCGAAGCCCAAATCTCCAAGCTCGTTTACCAAGAACCAATTTCCCTCAAGAAATCACAAACAGAAAATCAAGACTAGTAAAAAATCGAAATCTAGCGTTTTACTATAAAAAAGGGATTGGTGAAGAACCGATTGTGAAATTGATTTTCACACCCAGCACCACCAATCGAAGAACCAAAGAGTCACCAAGAAGGCCATGTACCACTTGTAGAGCCAAACACAAACGGAAGCAGAAAACGCACAGTCACAAAGACAATATCAAACACCAGCAACAAGGGATTTGATTATTTTTTAGGGCTCAGAACACCAAGATCATTGCACCCTTTTGTACAAAGAAACGGCCACAAAAAGACCACAAACCCTAAAGAACATGAACTACGCAACTACTCAATGGTTCAAGATTACACAACCAATCTAACACTTTAAAAACCTTAATAGAAGAATCACCAAGACCCCACTCACAAAAATTTATGATTAAAATCAGTTGTTTTAATCCTCACACAAAGTATCGAAAGAGAAAATGAAGAGAATAAAGCACAAAGGAAAACCTATAAGCTTCTCACACACATAGCAGAAACAGAATGAAAAATTCACGAGTAAAATGACTATTCAGCTCCTTTTATAATCATTCTCAGCAGCACACGTTGATACTCTATTGGGCTGGGTTTTTGGGCCGATTTCTAATGTGTTATCGGACAATGTTTGAGTAGTATAAAATCATTCCAGCAATTGGCCAAGCCCACATTTCATCATTGCCCAATTTATTTCTAAATTCATTTGTAATGTTTTATATTCACGAAAGACGAATGGGGCAAGATCAATTAAAGATAGTTGTTGTCACAAAATTTGGAATAATCAAATTTATTGAATGTCATAAAATAATTTCTAAAAATTTCAAACCAAATGTCTTTTCCAATTTTTTAGTTTAAGAACAGTTTTTTTAGAATATTCATCAAACACCTTGTAATCTTAAAATAAACTCAAAATAGAAAACTGAAAATAATTTCAAAACTCAAAATTNCACCTTGTAATCTTAAAATAAACTCAAAATAGAAAACGGAAAATAATTTCAAAACTCAAAATTGAAATGCAAGGCCTAAAGGTTCACAGCATAAAGAAAATGGAATAAAATTAAGAGTTTACCGAATTATCGAAAATGCTATATTGAATTTCTTTTTACTTCCCCCATCTGATAATCTTTTCTTAATTTTTGAATTAGCTGATTCCCAAATACACTTCCAAATGAAATAAATCCAGAAAGTAAATTTAAGAGAGATCGTGAGTGCTGAAAAATCAATTTGTTCACTGTATATATGTTTCAGTAGAACTGATGTTTAGTGTTGAAATAGAACTCAGCTCCACGTTAAAAATTGAAAATCCACTTACTTAATTATTTGGAAATATATTTTCTAGAACAGTGAAATCATTCATCAGGATATCAAAATACAATAGTTTGGGCAACAAAAGTAGATTAAATTTGACAACAAGAACAAATTTCACTCAAGTTCAATCAACATAAATAAAATAAAGGGTATTGGAGAAATCAAATACCACCAAAAGACAACAATAAAAATCTTAAAGGGCACATGTAATTAATTGGACAATGATTCGGTTGAAATGGATTCCGAAATTACTGCCACCATCATCATTTCTTCACATATCCCTGGAACCGTAAGTCGGCGGTGCAGCAGCATTAGAGCCACTAGCCCCACTACCTTCACCTGTACTAGGGTTTCTTGGATCAAATACTGGCAGTGCCGTGGCTCTGGAGCTACCTTCACCAGGACTAGGATTTCTTGGATCAAACACTGGCAGTGTCATGACTCTAGAACTACCTTCACCTGGACTGGGGTTTATTGGATCAAACATTGGCAGTGCCGTAACTCTGGAGCTACCTTCACCTAGACTGAGGTTTCTTGGATCAAACACTGGCAGTGCCGGGACTCTGGAGCTACCTTCACCTGGACTAGGGTTTCTTGGATCAAACATTGGCAGTGGCGTGACTCTGGAGCTACTATCCATCCCATAAGTTGGGAATATTGAACCCATACCCATTGGAACATACGGAGCAACCGGAGCATTAAGGCCACTTCCCCCACTAGCTCCGGCTGGAACCAAATAATTACTAGGGTTGCTCGAATCATATAGGACCATGTCATTAGAGCCACTGGCCACATAATGAGTTGGAGTTGGGAATACGCTAGTTCCAAAGGTATTAATCCCATCACCACCAAACGAAGCTGCAGGAACTGTTGATCCATGGACAGTAACTGGGGCTATAGTTCCATAGTTGGGTGCGGCAAAACCAGTAGTGACTAAACCTGGAAAGCCTAAATTTGCGTCGCCGGGTACAGGGAAACTCGGGTCTGTCCCAGCATGAGTAGGGAAGTATTGATTCCCTGGATTTGAAGCCCTCTGCAATTCGTTGTCAACAATGTTTTTGAAATGAGCATATTTCCCTAACCAGTCTTGAAGCTGGTTAAAATCGAGGTCATCAATGGAGGGTGGGAACCATTGTTGGGCTATACCCGCGAGCTTAATCTCTTCTTTCTCTTTGCTACTCCTTTTAAGAGATTCAATGGTGCTTTCCACATTAGTCAGGTCCTGGTTTCTTTGAATGATGTTGGAAGTGCGGTGAGCCTCAACCAATTGGGTAACAGGATCGGGAGGTGGTGGAGCATTATTCTGCGAAAGAAACCTATCACAGATAGTATTGATATTCGGGTGGCCAAAGGTAAACGCCTTGTCGCTGGGAGAAAAAACAATTACGCCTATCTCTACATCACAAAGGGTACAAAGTTCACTGGCCTTCTTGAATAGACCGGCGCGCCTCTTGGAGAAAGTGACTTGTAGGTTATTATCATTCTCCATTCTGGCCATGTTCACCCTTTGCCGACCACGGCCTCTTCTTCCCGACCTCCCGCCTTGACTCATCGAGATGAAATAATAATTGACAAGAAGCCAAAAATTGTTGAAATGTATGAGAATAAGAGAGATTTTTCTTGAAATGGCGTGGATTTTCTTAAGAAAGAAGGGTCTATTTATAGGAGAGGAAGATGCCTTATGCATACACATTTATGCCACACGGATTCTTCCTTCCATTTTTGTTCCTATATTTAAATTTGTCCCCCAATTTAATAAGTTACCAAGTTTCGGATATTATCTACTGTCCCTATTTGCCCAACATCAAATTTAAAATTCAAAAAATGACCATTTCATTGCTAGATTTTCCAAAATAGAGTCATTTGGGTTCATCTAGATCTTTCATTAATTGTTGAAACAACGTATCAATGACAAATGTTTGGCCGTTAAGAGTGTCTCCCGTTCAAAAAAACACGGGTTTTTCCCGCTCTTTTCTTTAGTGTCCAAATGGTGTTTTGTCGCAATAGAGAATGAAAAAATTGTTCTAGACTAAAAACTTTACCGACCAATGTTTGATTGATGACATTGTCTTATATATAGCAACCAATTTTGTTTGGTCATTAAGGTTGAACCTTTTTTTTTTCATAGTGGATTAATATTGTTTTCTTTGTACATAACGTGGTAGAATGTGGAGATTGATGTGATTATCACTTACTTAAAAGCATAGTATGATTTCTATGGCCACTTCAATGGATAAGAATGTGACTACGAATGCTTCAATATTGTGTTTGTTCATACATGAAAAGTTGTAATAAGCCGATTAAACGACAAACAAAATAATTAACATAATTAACAAGCATTTTAGCACCGATTTCGGACTCCATCGATCGAGCATTTTTTATAAAAAAATTATTTTTTTGATATATATATAACTAAATCCTACTATTAATAATTGACAACTATAGAAATGATTTTATTGAATGTGATGAGATGAATTTCATAGCATACAACTAAAAAACATAGAGATAGACGCCAAGGATGGAAAAACATTATATATAATCTTAAATTCTTAATTATAATTTCGTGGAAGACTTTACCAGCCAATTTTAATAAACGAACAAATGAGTCACGAAGTTTTACAATGATTAATATTTCATATTAATTGGTGCATATTTAGGAAGTAATCAATTCGTTCTAATTCCCTTAAATTTATTTTCCTAATTAAAACCACACCATTATAATTTCTCTATAGTCTTTTTTTCACCCATTTTTGACTTCCTCGTGGTTTTATTTCATCTCAATTGATTTCCTAATGAGTAGTCAAGGTGGCTGGCCGATGAGGAGCAAAAGTGGGTTTAATAAGTTAATTACTTCATCTGAGATTTCATTTATATTGCAATACACAATTACATAAAACATAAATTCTACGGGATGACAAATGCAATCAATAATTTGGCTTTGCGGACCGCTCTAAGTTTTGATTTTCGATAACCATTTATTCCCATAAAGAGAGAGAGAATAATATTATATAATACCAGTGATTTTAAAGCATCAGTCTATATGTCTAGAATTTATAGGTTCAATTAAATGAATTATATAATTTTGTATTTAAATGAATCTATTATTTAATACTATGTAATAAGTTAATTACTTCATCGGAGATTTCATTTATATTGCAACACACAATTACATAAAACATAAATTCTACGGGTGACAAATGCAATCAATAATTTGGCTTTACGGACCTCTCTTAAGTTTTGATTTTCGGTAACCATCTATTCCCAGATAGAGAGAGAGAATAATATTATCTAATACCAGTGATTTTAAAGCACCGGTCTATATGTCTAGAATTTATAGGTTCAATTAAATGAATTATATAACTTTACATTTAAATGAATATATTATTTAATACTACGTAATTGCGACATAAACTGGTGCTTAACACTAATGGTGATGAATAACATTACTCATAAATTAAAATCAAATTTTAATTAAGAAAATGTTATCAAATGTCTAGAAATTTTTAAAACAATTAAGGGCATGTTTGACAAGGGTTTCAAACAGTTAAAAATTGCTTCTGTTGCTAAGAAACTACTTTAGAATATGTTGGTATAATTTTCTAAAAGTAATTTAAAAAAAAAACTGACATAAAGTAGCTTTTTCAATAAGTCTTCTACAAGATGTAGAAGCCTTAACAAATGGACCCTAAAGATAGCATTTACACTCTAATGTCACCAGAGAACGATCTCAGATACCTCGAATACAAGGGTTGTGATCTTGTTATCACTTTCTCAATCAAATCAATGCGAATAATCATTCGTAAATTGCAATGTAAAAATATGAAAACTGAAAAGATCGAGAATTTTACCATCAAGAATGGCGTTTACATATTCATATCAAGGCACGCACCAACTTGACAACTCCCTCGACTTATACAAGACTTGGCCATCGTTTGGTCATCAATTGATAATTGACAAGTGGTTGATTTTTGCTCGACAACAATTATTGGTTTTGTGGGTTATATGTGTTCTTAACCCTCGACAACTTAAATCGGTAAGGAAAAGATTCACAACGTCAAGGTCAAGTAGGTAGACGCATTTCGTAAAACTTTCTACCGCCGCTCATCGATGTTTTCTAACTAGGGTTATGATTGGAATAGGTAAGAGAAAGATGTATATTTCAATTATAAAATGTGTATATAATTGGCAGTGCTCTAAAAGCACCTAGGCGGCGGCTCATCGATGTGCTGCATCGATGTTTTCTAACTAGTGTTATGAGTGGAGTAGGCGAGACAATGACGTATATTTCAATTATAAAAAATGTGTATAAAAATGGCAGTGTTCTAAAAAGTGTCGAGGCGCAAAGCGAGGTGCCTTACCTTGCCTCACGCTTTTTATTTTATTTTTTTGCGCATTAGTGCTTTTTTTTTTGACCTTTTTTCTTTAATTATTATATAATTTTTAGATTGATTTAAAATTTTAAAATAATATTAAAATAAGAAAACACTTTTTTACTCCTAGACCGAAGCTTGACCTTCATGTTTTGCTATAATTTACGCTTTTTAGAACACTCATAAATTGTATAAACTAATCTTTAAATACAAAAAATAAACATAATTGTGCTTTCCATCTACAATTGTTTGACCCTCATCTATAATTTTGCTATAATTTATGCCTTTTAGAACACTCATAAATTGTATAAACTAATCTTTAAATACAAAAAATAAAAATAATTGTGCTTTCCATCTACAATTGTTTGACCCTATTTTTTGTAAAAATAAAAAATAAAAAATATTTTCGAATAGTGATTTGAAAGAGAATGTGTGATTAAAAACTAAGGAAAAATTTTGAATTTGCGTGTAATGTTATTTTATTGAAAATTGTATGGTTGAAATTAAGAGAGTAAAAAATATATTTTGAAAATAATGAGTACCAAACAAGGGGCTATATATTTGAAATATGAGTTTGGCATATACTCCATTTCTCAAACAATCCCGTACTTGTACTATTCCATTTAGCTTCTTCGTGTAGTTAAAAAATAGATTTTGTAATAGTTTGATAAAAAATGATAAAATATTTAAAAGGTTGATAAAAATTTTAGGTCCATAACATATGCGATTAAAATTAATTGTAAATTTTGACTTAAATATTTATCAACATTTTAAGTCACACCAAATAGGGACTTAACAAATTGCCTACTCAGCACAACAAAATATTATTCTTACAACTTTTGTTGGACAAATCTCTCGAATTGAATCGAATCCCGATCTGAATCGAGCATTTCAATTTGGTTCTTTAGGTTAAATACCCAAATGGTAGAATTAAAAAAATTGATGAATTTTTTAAACAAAGAAAAGAATAATCGAATAAGAATCGAATTTCTTTTTTTTTTTTTTTTTCATTTTTCAAATCATTTTAATTTTTTCTAAATAAATTTGTTTATTAACTAATTAAGTGATTAATTATAAGTGGCCAAGCTCCAACTCTCAAAGGCTAAGTCCAACTTGAGCCCAAAATATGTTTCCTTCAAATTTCACCTCAAGTCCAACTTTTCTTCACAATTCACCTAACGCTCACTCATTCTGTCATTTAGATTTAGTTGTTGCCCTGGTTTTCAATCGCTCGTCTCTCACAAGTCATGACTTCATATTTACTCCTCAAGATCCACGTCAACCACACCATCGTATCCTATATTTGTAAGCACTTCTACATCATTTTTCATTTTTAAACTCAGTTGTGGGCATATAAAGGCTAATATGGAAAAGAGTAATGCTACAGGAACCTGCTGGGTTACCTGTAGCATTACCCGACCCCACGCC